TTTTTATTTAAAATAAAAATTAAATAAAAAAAATTATAAAAATTATAAAATAAAAAAATTATAAAAATTATAAAATAAAATTAAAAAAAAATTTTTTTTTCAAATAAAGATTAAAAATAATTATTTTTTTAAAAAAATAAAAAGTAAAATAAACTTATTTTTTAAAAAATAAAAAGTAAAAATAAAAATTAAAAAATAAATCTTTTTCTTTTATAAAAATAAAAATTAAACTTTTTTTTTTAAAAAAAATGAGATTTTTTTTCTTTAAAATATAAAATAAAATATACAATTAAAATTTTTTTCATGTTAAAATTTATTTTTTTAAATAAAAATATAAGATTTAAAATATACATATACTGTATATATTTTTAAAAATAAAACTCAAATAAATATTATAAACTTAATTAAAATACAATTAAATATTTTATTTCTTATAAATATATAAAAATACAAAAATTTTTTTTTTAAAAAATAGAATTTAAATAATTAAATTTGAAATATAGTTTAAGTCTTTTTACTATTATAATATTACTTAAAATACAATTAAAAAAAATTAGTCTTTTTGCTATTTTAATAATAAAAAATTAATATTTAATATAAATTATTCATTAAAATAAAGGTTTTTTTTAGAAAAGAAAACTAAATAACCAAACTTGAAGAACAATCTAGATATTTTTTGCCATCTTAAAATTATCTAAAATATATTAAAAACTAATTTTTTTAAATAAAAAACTATTTTTATATATAAATATAAAAATATTTAAAATTTAAAAAATTTTAAGAAAAAGTAAAAATCGAATAACCAATCCTGAAAAATATCCCAGGCTTTTACGCTATTTAAAATTATTTTAAATATATTAAAAAATATTTTTTGAATATAAAATTATTTTTTATATAAAAATTAAAATTAACTAAACTCTGCATAGCCCGATCCTTTACGCTTGTTACGAATTATAATAGGCTTATTTATTTTTGTCTATTTCATTCATTATATTATAATCATTTGTTATGATACCAAGGACGCACGTGAAGATTATTATTGCATCCAAGGAAACACAGAACTTAGATCTTCTGCCATATCCTTTGTGTTTTAGATATGTTATGAATGTTATTGTTTTTCTGTCAGCTTTTATCTAAATTCAGCCTTCTTCTCTTCTGGATTCGAATGTCTTGATTATATTTATTAGTTTATTTAAAAATGCAAAGTATCCCCTATTACTCGGATTGCATTATCCCTTTTTTATTCATCTAAAGAAAACAGACGGATAAAAAAAGAAAGATAGAAAGAAGGAAATAACCTGTTTTTTATTGACAAAAAAGTTTAATTTTTTGTAATTTTCATTTAAGTACTTCAACTCGTTCCATCGCATTATTCTTTTCAAATGGTGGGATTGTCCATGTTAAAGGTATTTAGAAGTCTGATCGTGGTTATCGAGCCGGAAAAAAAATCACTCCAAAACCGTATATACTGTAATGAAGGAAAAGACATTTTCTTATAAAAATAGATGCCAAAAATATCAAAAATTTCGTTATTTTTTAGATTTATAATCCAGAAGTCTTCTTGGAGTCTACCCTCAATCAAAATGTCAACCAGAAGAATCACCCTAATGAAAGATATATTGGGCATTGTTGCAGGCTAACGGAAAGTTGGTCGCTACCTTAGTACCACTCGCGTAACCTGCAGATACGGGTACATATACACACAAAAACAAACAATGCAAAAAACAAAAAGGTTGGAGGCGGATCGATTTGGCATGGACAAAAGGACACTTTATTTAGTAAAATGTCATTTATGATACAGTATATCTATATCTATATATTTATATTTATAATGTATAATGTTCGTACGAATAGCTTGTGCTTAAATGCATAAATGAACCTACCTTTACATATTAATTCGCCGAACTTACCATACTCACTACCTACGCGTTTAGTCACGAAATAGAAGATCTAGCATAAGTTTTGCTCGTGGCACATTTACTGCTGAAACCATGCATAATTTACACAATCAACGTGACTTGAAATTTATTATGATATCTTGACAGACCACGTTTTTACCCCTCACAGCATACAAAAAAAGGGGGTAAAGAGGTAATACATATACATTCGAATAAGAACAGGCAATGACTATTCATCCCACTATGTTGCGACTATCATAAAACCTATTTACTTTTGCAGTATTCGTCTTAAAATTTGTGGGTTTCAGATAAAGGAAATAAATGACTTGATAAATGTGAAGATCAGATGATATCGCTAAAAGAATTGGAGAAGGTAGTAGATTATATGGAAAAAAACGATAAATGTGATGCTCATGAAAGTAGTTTGAAGTATCATCATCGGAAAAAAAAAAAAAAAAATCAAGAGGCAAAGTAAGAAGGAAAAGAAGGTGAAAAAATTTTGGTGGAGATCAAAATATCAATATTGATTATGAAAAAAGAACCGGACATCGAAAACAAATAGGGACAAGGCTTTAAAAATTCTATTTGAAGCTCGAAAATCCAAATGTGCTCATGGACGTACTTGACACGGGATCTCTTAATTATGTTACCTATCATTATAGGCATGAAAAAAGAAATAAAAACAATAGAGATAATGAAGATAGGGAACGTCAAGAGATATGGTAATATATATTGATGTTTGAAAAAAATGAGATTTTGTATTTCTAAATAGTAAAAAGGTTCTAAATATTTAAGTAATCATTCTTCTTCTTGCATGTATTATAGAACAACATAACTCATTATCAATGTTGGCGAATTATTATCAAGGGTAAACATAAAATTTATCAAAATAAGTACGGATATTTGTTAAACCCCTGAGCAAACCCATCTTATTTAAATTTCGACATTTTAAAATAACATAAATATCGATTTTATATCATACACGATCCAAAATACTCGTAAATTATGAATTATGGCAAAGATTAGTGCTACTATTCAGTTCTACAAAAGGAAAACAAAACTTTTAAATTGTGAAAAGTTGGGTATTACGTATTATTATTTTTTCAGAATTAATGGTCAAAAAATAATGAGTGCTTAGGGGTAAAAACTTCACATTTGCCCTCTTAATAATCAATATAGTATATGAAATATGATACATACTCGGTTCAGATTATATATTTAGATGCACTGTCAGCAAAATAATCATAACCTCGGATCTGTGTACCGAGCTTAATTAGAATAAATTCAAAAACGATGATCCGTTTTTTAAAGTACACGTATATAAATACTGTATCATCACATCGCATACCGTTGAGACATACGTAAAATTATGTGATATTTTAATGCAAACGCAGATGACAGGACTCAATGATATTGTCATGAGTTTAGCATTGCATGTGCACGCATGCAGGTGCGATAAACAATTTCCCAATAAAAATTTCCAAAGAAAATTTCCAAATTAAGCGCTTGCTATTGTGTTATTCCTAAAAAAGTGTATGCTGTAGTAATATAATTCGAATATTCTGAGATTTAATTTTTCTGAGTAGCAACAGAAAAGGAATCCACTCAATAATTTTTTTAGAAATCTGTAATACGCACAAGGTATACAATACAAGATTTCCACAACAATGTTCCAAAGAGTATTCCGAATTCAAATTCCGGAAAAGAGAATTCTTGTTTGGTACTGATAACTGATAACATCATGCAGTTCGACAAAATACATGCTTACACGTAAAGTGTAATTGTAAGACAAAACGCGAATGCGCACTACACAATAAGAACATACAGTACATATAATATAATATTTTCGAATATATTATACGTAATGAACGTGTACAGAAAGTTTTCAGATTTTTAAGTCAAATAATTTTCAGTGTTTGAACTTACAAATAAAAATAAATTTCCTTTGTTTTTATTCATTTACTTATTTATTTAATGTAAAATATTATATGAATATATAGATTATAATGTCTAAAGAATGTTCATAGTTGACGTATTCGCAATGAATCAAGAAATTCTAAAATACAAAAAGCGAAGTTTACATTCACTTTATCGTATTTATGGGTGTTATTTAATAATTTAAATTTATTTAGTTGCAAAATATTACTAAACAAAAATAAAATAAAATAAAATAAAAATAAAAAATAATATCATAATTCTATAATTTTCATTAATTTTTATTTTACATTCTTACCAAGCAATAATATAGATGATGCTTTCCTAATAATCTAAATAGAATATTTAAAATAAATTCAAAGTTACGAAGCATTCTCACTTCATATAAAAAATGCAATGGTTATTTAGAAAAATATTATAAATTTAATTGTTGCAATCTTAAAAAAAGTTTTTTTTAAAGGATAACATGCTATAACGGTTAAAAAATCGAGAAACTCATTAGAAAAAAATATCAAATTACCGAATAATCGAATAAATTTAATAAAACCAACAATAAAAATGGATAGATGAATAAATTAATTCATTAAATAACAAATACTGTAAATTTTTGAAAAAATCTAACTTGAATAACGGTTAAATGGTAAGATTATCAACGTCACATGTCAATAGCTCATTAAGGAATATTAACAACACATTTGAACACGAAAGTCGGCGGTAGAGAAAGAGCATCGCAATTAGTTCTAGCATGAAGCGAGAGGAGACAACTATGCGGTAGGAGTGAGAGATTCTATGAGTCGAAAAGCAAAGTTTCGGGCAAATGACGCGAGAAGAAACCAAGAACAAGTCATTGCCCTTTACTATTAATTCCTTACGTAATAATAATTTTAACCTAAACGAGTTAGACAACTTATTACGTACATACAGGCAAACTCTCGATAATTGTCCAAATGTGCACTATACTATAAAATGTTAATTGGTATACATTGATTAGTTTAAAATTAGTTAAACTAAAATGGACCATTATCGAATTATTCTCGCTCGGACTTTAAATCAAAAATCAAAAATAAAGATCGATGAAGAAATGCTAATGGAATGCCTGTTCATAGAATGCACCGTAGAGAATAATTTAATACCAACATAACATGTCGTGGAGAATATTCAACATCTCTAAATTACAAGTATCACACATTGCGGAGATAATGCAGCCGTGCTCTTCTCACACGCCTTCACGTTGCGGAAGTTCGCAGCCGCGTTCTTACAACAGATGTTGCGTTGTATATTGTGGGTATGCGATCGTGATTATGTAATTAACCCACTCGAAAAGTTGGCAGCAGGATAAAAGCATCGTAGTGGATACCATAGTGAGGGAGAAAGGGAGATTCGATGAACCGGAAAGCAGAGTTTCCGGGAAACGACGTAGCAGAAGAAGAAAACAAAAAACATCACCTTTGAAAATATAGGCCCTTTATTATGATTCTTACGGATGCAGTTTAACCAACAGGCTAGTCAGACATATTGTATCATAGATGACATCTCGTTATAATTACCCTTCACCGGAATTTACTGATAAGCATATGTAAAATTTAGATTACGTACCCGTAGATTTTTGATTATATGACGTTAATCAATAAAAAATAACATACTGTATTAACCAATTTTCCTTATTTTGTAACATAACTTTATAAAATTTAAATTCTAAAGATACGAATTTTAACGGCTTTTATGTACAATACAGTACAGTATATAATTTTATATTCTTTACGATTGGGTATTTCGGTTATAGAATCAAGTAACTAAATACGTACAAGGTTCTCGGAAATCCGATGTACAGTACGTATTACGTACGTAGTTTACAAGAAAATCATCGAGTGTTGATCTGTTTGGTGCATAATCGATCGAATTAGCCAAATCCTCGCGATATTGTTCTTCCGTGACTCGTCTCGTCTCTCAATTCTCGATCATATTCTCAACGGGAGTAAACGGCATATATTGTAAAAAGAAAATTTTACTTATAATTATTTCTTAATCTCTTCTCTTCTCAAAAAAGCCCGTTGAAAATTGTGGGGTAAGGTTTGCAATAAAATTTGCGACCCTTTAATTACAATTTCTCCGATTCATCACTGATAATATGGTGGAATGTACAGTACATTTTCGCTTTTATAAAGTGCTTTGCTTATAAGTAATTAAAATATTGACTCGTTTTTCTCAATGTAGAATTTGAAGGTAGTATCATATAAGATATTGTTGATAAAGTTTTCACATTTCTTCGACTTTTCCCAAAACTACGACCTCTAGCTCCGGTGTGACTTCTGTAAACAATGTGAACTTATTTTACTCTTTACAAACAGTATATCCCTGATATCTGAATTTAGTTATTTATCTATTTGTTTGATAGTGGTATTAATGATTTTTGGTGCTTGTTTATTGAATAACTATTTATTTACAACACATAATAACAACAATAACAACAAAAGGCACCCCTTTTATGAACTTATCAGCGTTCTCTCATTCTCTGCAAATGGAGAATTAAATTTTCAAGGAAATTATGATAGCTAACATTCTCAACTTCCACCGTATCATATACTTATCGTTCAATGATCACGCATTATTTGCCTCATATTTTAAATGTTTTGGACAATTTAAAGTTGACTCCTAATATCGCTAAATTTTATAATATGTTTAATTGATAATTTCTTTAAATAATGTTTACGGTAATATCACAATACCTTGATAACACATCTTATCGACGACATGACGATCTCGTCATTTTATTGTCTGCTCCGATACAGTATAAGATAATTTTCGAAACCGAATACGTATCAGCATCTAACTGTAAATACAGTAAAGTTAATAAGGATAGTTTATTTTTACCATTGGTCATTACATATTGTACGTATAGATTTATTGACTTCTAAATTATTTAGAAAAAAAATCAGGAAGGGCACGTACAGTACGATATGCAACCTGAAATAAATCACTTGATTTAAAATTTAGAAGCACAATCATCTTAATTATATTTACATTAAGGATTCTTTATTAATGTTTCTTCTCACTTAGAATGCAACAGACTAGACTGATTCAAAAATTATTTTAAAGCTCGGTAAAATCAGGATACTCGATGCGTAATACAAATTCCGCAATCGCTCACATCTCACATGAGGGTTATTGTATATATTATTCTAAACCTATTAAGTTATAATTATTGCGTAAGTAATCATTTAAAGGTTAGTGTTTTCGAAGATTTTTTTTTTTTTTTTTTTTTTTTTTTTTTTCTGTTGCTCATTTTTTTCCATGAAATTTTGCTCTCCAGGTTATCCAATCTCGCAACCCCTCCAACTTTATCTAGCACCCATCACTATGTTCTCCTTTTGCTGCTAACTTTTATTTGCAATGGATCATTAATGTGAGCAAGCAATTGAGTTAAACACGACTGAGTACTCCCGACAGCTTTTAGCGCCTTTATCTTGATTTTGGACATCGTTACATACTTTCCGCAATGTGCGTTGTTGGACACAATGCATTCTTCTAGGTACGGGCAGCGCAAGCATTCCATTAACATTTCTTTGTCGATTTTGTTTATTTGAATTATGAAAATTTGAGCAAAAATAATTTTATTATGGATAGAAACAAAAAATAATCAAAATAATCATCTCCATATGTATGAATATTCTAATTAATATTGAAGAGAGACCCACAATATTGAATGGTGAACGAGAAATACTTACAATCTCAAGCGATACGTATTCGTAAAATTATTTAGACCCGAAATATGTACGTATTCAATACTCTGGACATCAAATATGTAACACAAAAACGATCAAGTAATTGGTTGGGCCATTGTGGTTAAGAATAAACTCAATAATTATTCCGTAACTAGCGTTAAATATTGAATCCAGTGTACTTGGTAATAATTCATGTATCACAGTATCATTATGCAAGTACGTATGTTTCCTTTTTCAATTTTACTTGAAAATAGTGGTAACTGATTAGCTCAAAAATTTGAAAAATATTAAATAGAATCGCTTGAATAAAATCAGAAAAGTGTAAAATACTGTTGCAAGGAATGAAAGGCCTCCCAATCATCAGCATCTCGAAATAATTGAATTCCTTTTATTTTATTTTTACAAATTCTCACCGCAATGAGCAGTATCCACGCAAAATTGCTTCGATTAAAGCAAACTAAACTCTTCAATGTGTGAGTTTTTATTGATTATTTTAAAAGAAGCTAATCAAGTTGTCATATTATTGTACAATCAATTTTTTTAAATAATTATTGGAAATCATATCGCCTATCAAAGAAGCATAGATCCCGACACAAATATATACGTACTGTGTACGTATCTGCTTTTGTTCAAAAGAAGCGATCCTCTATTTTATTCTCAATATGATCTATATATTAATTTATAAAACAAGATAACTATCATGGTTCTTGAAAACGCGGAAAATTTTCGTCATTAGAAATTATATTTAAACAATAATGATGTTTAGGCGGCAGCTTGACCGAAATACAGTAACTATTCAATATTGCTTTCAGTATATATAAACCTTCCATGGTTGGGTCGCAATAATTGTTCTAGCGATTCTTTGTTAGCTCGAAAATGAACTAGAACCTAGTAAATTTGTTAAAGGGTTAATAATGAAAGATTAAATTACAAATAATGCTAATATCAAATTTTTTATAATATTCAAACGTAGTTACCCAATAAAATAATTTGAGGTGCATTAAGATTTGAATAAGGATTAACACCGCGCACGCAAAGTTAAGTGCTCCCGATATATAACGTTCACCAGAGAGGTTATCTATCATGTGAAATAATCCTCCATTTGCGTAAAGCAATCCAGCTTCCAAGGATATGCTATATATTATGCTAATTATGGAGGCGAAGAAAAAACTAATAAAGCGATTTTTATTTTCTTCCCTAATTAAAAATAACGTTAAAAACAAGAAGCGGATGAGAGTGGTAGATGCAAAAATAATATTTAGAAATGCGTACACAAATCCACGATATAAGTTCATGTGTCTAAGGACAAAGTCACCAATAAGCCACAAAATCATGCATAACAAGGCCAACAAAGTTCCTCCCCAAATCATGGAATCTCTGTAATAGACCACAGCCGGTGTGGTTGCGACTATTCCAATCCCAAATTCTAGTATCATAAAATAAACTATTGACATAATTTTTTGTAAGATGAGTGTTTGCCTATGTAATTAATTTCCGATAAAGTTTAAACAGATAAGAGACATACTAAACCATATCCTGTAAGACAATTGAACCATTTTATTAGCATTTCGTCCAATGATATCTTCTTGGATATTGTGATGGATTAGAGGACAACAGAATGGCCTATATTAAATTAAATTTCAGTTTCAAAAGAAAATTATGCAAAATTTTAGAACAATATCTTTCGTAAAATTTACCAATTATTCTTTTTCTGCAAGTTAGTCATTTTTATTTTAAGCGGTGAAGAAGAAACGGAGGTTAAATTTTCTACGAAATACAATAAAGATGAAGTCCATTACCGACCGTAATTTAATACTTTCAGAATTCCTTGTGTGAGTGCAACTTACTCCGAAACTCCGTGGACAATCGTTATTACAGTATAGTCTTTGTTAAAAACATCATTCCGTATTTTTATGATTGTTTCTACGGTATAATTTAACTTTCTTTAATTACCTTGTTTTGATTATTGAATACAAGGATTGTATATAAGGTAGGGTCGAGAATGTCATCAAATACGTACAGTACGTACGTATTACGTACGTGGTACATCCTAACAAAAATCGGTACTGCTTTACCATCGTGCGCGTGAACTTTATAATTTGTGACACATAAGTTGACGTATTGGGAATCAATGGACGGTATCTCACTGTGGCCAATCGTTGAATGCTTAGCTGGCACCCGACTAATGTCCATTCTTTAAAAAATAGATGGTGCTTTCCAAATATCAAAACAACTACCAATTAAATAAAAAATAATTGGTCGTACAAGTCGTTGAATGATTGTTCAGTGGTTTCAATCATCGTATTGTCGAACTTTTTCAGAAGTTAGGAAAAAGATGTTTGTACATCAAGTACTTTATCAAAGGAATTCGTGTTCTTTAAATCACAAGGCTATCATAAGCTCATTTGTGGTTGATTAGTCCTCTAATGAGAAATATTAAAGTATAAGTGATGCAAACATTTACTCGCTGGTGCGCTCCAATTTTAAACTCTCAATAAAAGAAACTTTTATGAACATATAGTTTTCGCATTTTAAATTTTTTATTTTGTTATTCTTATCCATTTTGCATATTATGTAATTTACACAAGGAAGTATGTATACAATAAATGTTTATTAATTTTAAACATTTTATTATTGTATTTACATATGTGTAAAATTTTTTATTTTTGATTTAGTTATAATACAAATTTTATTCATTTTTGGAGTTAATGTTTTAATAAATTACATAATACAATTAATTATTAGTATTGTCTACTATGTTTTAATTATTTATGGATACTATATATTTTATGTGATATGATACATGGAGATCCATTTAATTAAATAAATTTAGTTCATATCAAATACCTTTTAAAATAATTTATAATGGCCAGCCTATGAGTCAATAGTGCAATGGTTTAGCACTCCATAGATCACATTACAAGGTTACTAGATCAAATTCTTCAGAAGACATCCCTGATATTGATGGATCTATTCCATTGGCATATCTATAAATTAACTGATGCTTTCAAATATATCCCACTCACTCTGATATAAAATATTATGTAGTATAGTCATTTATTAATAGCAATCATCAATTTTAGAAATTAACAATTATATATCTTGTAATAGTCATTTATTAATAGCAATCATCAATTTTAGAAATTAACAATTATATATCTTGTAATAGAAAATTATCTAATTATTACTATTGTTGTGGACTAAACTGGTGAGTCCATAGCTAATAAATAGTGCCTTGTGTAATTTACCAATCAATACAACTATAAAAAAATGAATGTTTCTTATAAAGAAAAACCTAAGAGAAGCAGAAATGTAGTGATTGACTTGACTAAGAATAAATATATATTTTATTTATATTTAGTTTCTTTTAAAAATTCCAATAATTATTTTATTCTCAATAAGAGCTGTCTTACACATTTAGTATTGTCTTTTAAACTTATATTGATAAGCTATATATATGCTTTTCTAGCTAAAAATTGACTATTTACTTTATAATAAGTTATGTTATTCTAAGCTTTGCTAGAATTTTTATATTATATAATACTCACACAGTTCTCTTATTAGTACCTAGCCTTAATTTATAGCTTCTTGCTTGCAATACTTAATTTTACATATCAAACTTTTAGTTTTAGATTCTAGCTTATTATATATAATTTTTTTTTTGAAAAACACTTAACTTGCTTATTTTATTGATTGTATATATTACATGTGCTGAATTTATAAAGAAATTTTACAAACTGTTTTCTATATAAAGCAGGATAATAAAATCAATTGGTAATAGATACCTATTATCAACAGTAGTGAGACCCAGTTTTCTTATCCCTTGTGACTTGTTATATCCATATTAGAAACTTATGTGCCTAGGTGCCATTAGTATATTAAAAATGATGATAAAAATATTTGAGATTCCTTTAATAATTTTTCTAGAGTTGTTAGTAATATGGTTTTTGCCTGTATATCAGTATATACCTTGTTTGAATATTTTTATCTATATATTTTGTTATTTCATTTCTGTTTTTTTTTTTGATAGTATTAGTGATACTTATAACTTTTTTCCATATTGGATCTAGAAATATCTGTCTGCCCATATGTTTTATGTAATAAATCTAATGTTGTGAATGATACTACATGTGACTACTACTATTATTTCAGCTGGTATGAATTGTTATAAGAATTTGATGACCTTTTTGCTAATACTATTTTAAATTATTATAATCCACTATTATTGTCTTTCAGATAGTCATATATTTCTTTTTTGATTTGGTGCAGGCTTCCTTTTTCTATTTTTATAGTGACTTTTGTATAGATAGTGGATGTTATTGAGTCTTGGATGTTCATACTATGATGTTTTCATTTGAATATGTGTATATTATCTTTAATGTGATTGCATATGAAGTATTTGTGTGATTTGTATATTTTCAGGTTTTTGATATATAGTTTGTCTATAGTAGAAAGTTTTATATTCTATAGTTTAATTGCAAATTTTCTATAGCAATAATTTATTGTGTTAATATATAAGCTTGTAAGTTTGATGGGATATAAGTGCTTAATTAAGTTTTGCTAGTCTATGTCTCTTTTGAGAGGTATACTGAGATCTTTGTTTCTGTCTAAGGTTACCCATTAATGTGAGAGCTTTGCTTGTCTCACCAGTTTGATCAATTTTCAAATTATATTTGTAATTTCTGTATTCCCATTGAATTTTAACAAAATAATGTTCTGTATAAAATAGTCTTGTAGTATAATACTATAATATATA